CAGAAGGTTTTCTGTTTTTTTTTTTATGTCAAGGAGACTGCAAACTTATAAAACTCAAGTTATTTCTTGTTATTTTTGTCTTGTAAACTGAAAAAGTCATAATTTGTTATCCAACAAAAGCATTTTCATTTGCATATTGGCTCAACGCAACAAAGTTCCCAAAGCTATTAACTGTGAAATACAATTACAAAAATGTTTTAAAACACTTTATAGTAAAGCAAGTAATGTGATTTCTTCTTCCCTCCCAATGTTTTATGATCTCATTCCTGCTGTGTGGAAGTATCATCATTTCTCAACAGTGACTCCTAATGTTTAGGAAGAGAGTTATACAAAGAGCAGCACTGACATTAAAGACTAGCTCTCCAATGTTGACATCACAGTCCCTCCAGGACACGAGAAATACGTAAGTAACTATCCACTTTAGTTTTGTTTAAGTCATTTTTTTGCCCGTTCACTATTTTCTTCCTTTGCATTTTTTCTTGTTTCCTCCAAAACTTCTCTAAGGATGAAAAGGAGCCCTCTGCTATATGTTTAACATTCAAATTGTGTGCCTTAACAAATCCTGCTCATAGCCTACTGCAAGGAAATGTACATTTCTGAATATTAGTGTCCTTTCAAGCAACATTGGGATGTCATTAAACACCATTTTTCAGTCACCTTTTTATATCATGTAATTATTATGAATTTTCTAGTTAAACTTGTATCAACTTCTGACTTCTACTAATGTCATTCCAGCTCTGTTGTATCAATTCAATTCAGTTTATTTATATAGCACCAATTCATAACACATGTCGTCTCAATTCACTTTAAAGAGACAATTCAACCAGATCATACAACCAGATTGGTTTAAAGTTTTCTATCTAAGTTGAAAACCAGTTGATTGCATCGACTGATTGACTCAAAGGCAATCCCTCAAACTAAGCAGGCTTGTAGCGACAGTGGAGAGGAAAAACTTCCTTTAACATGAAGAAACCTCCAGCAGAACCAGGCTCAGTGTGAGCGGCCATCTGCCAAGGCTCACTGGGGTTCAAGGAAACAGAAGCAGACATAATCAGCATGGCTGTATCAAAAGTAACAGAGAGGGATACTTTAATTCTCTGCTACACCTTTAAGCCATGACATGGTTAAATTAGTGAAATTATTAGATATGTAACTAAGCTATGGTTAAATTTGTAATGACCATGCATCAACACTTTGTACCTGCTTTACCAGCTGATAACTGGAAGAAATTCACCAGTATGCATTAATTATTTAAACGTATAAATAATATGTAGTAGAAACACAACGATTAGAGGTCTTAATCTCTGATATTTCTAAAGTAAGCTGGCTTAACTGGTGCAAAAAGAGACAAGAACCAAACTGCATGTAAATGAGGTCTAATTTAAAAATCAGTAGAAAGCAATTACGTTTAATATGTAATATTCTGACATTTTGTCTCAATAATTCATCAAAACACCAAAGTTGGACTAAAACTAAACTGTTGTACAATAGTTAAGTACCCAGCTATAACATGGAGGATGTTGGGAAAAGATGGGAGCTCTGCAAATTGACCCAGAGCCGTTTAACTACTGAACAGGTATTTATCATACATTGCAGTATAAAAGCATTATAGACACAGATGGCTTTTTTTCCTACAACACCTCTCTTGCCCAACACATTTTCTGTTTGCATCACTGGCTGCTGCAGTGCCATAATTAGTAGCTGGATGTGACACATGTTTCCAATTTGCTACGTCTGGTCATTGCACCGAAGGGAGGGAGTGACAGAGCGAAGAAAAGACAGAGACAGATGGAAACTGACAGAGGAAAGAAAAGAGATGCTGAGAGTACAGAGATGAAGAAGCATGAAGGCAGCACAGGAGGCGATTTAAGGTGGTGGAAGATAAGGCGGAGGCCAGCTGCAGGTGGACGCCCCGCACTTCAAAGCTATGTATTGAGAAAAGGTCCGAGGGTTAACAATGTGACAGTCCATTTGCTTCCAAGGCAACATGTGAACCATACATGCACTCACTCCGGCGCCTGATTGATATAGGAGCTACTGCTCCTGCTTGCTCTTCGCCCCATTTCAGGGCTAAGGACCTCAGATGTGTGTGGGCTCCGGGAGCTTATCGCTGGAAGATGCACGCTATTTAAACAAGCAGCGGCTCTCAACATATTTCAGCCCTGAGCAAAAAGCTATTTCGCCCCAGGGTTAGCCGAAACTAAAGCGCAGCTCTTGTCAAGTAGGCAGAAAGGAGAAACAAGCACATAAAAGTATGTAAAAGCACCAGGAAAATAAACTCGCGGAATGACTAAGCTGATTAACTATGAATAGTAAGCTCCATGAATAAGCCTCATAGTATACAATAGGCTTTGTACTTTGAATATATGAGTGAGTAAATCTGCAGGAATGACTGTGAAGTCTGGCGTCTAATTGCCAGTCGGGCCCGTTCGCTGAGCCCTGACATCCACACGAAGCTAAACTCCATTAGGAGACAATAGCGTGGAATCACCTGTAAGGCCTCAAAAAGCCAAAGCTCTATGCTTCCACAGTGGAAATTACCCTCCCGTGTCCAGCTCTTACACTCCCCCGTTGGGTGAATCCAACCACTGCTGACAAAAAGCCCTCATTAACGGCTTCGTGCCTCAATTCACAGCGGGGGCCCACGCACGGTCGCTCAGGGCAGGCCGTGGCCTACAGCACATGAAAACCTGTTAGCCCCCCTGAAAAAAAAAAAGCCTCTGGCATGGGTGTGAGCTGAGGATGGTATTGTGGGTTTGCCATCGGCATCTTTCCACAATGAGGTGTGTAATGTAGGCACATTCACCAGGAACATGAGCTATTCAAGACCAGTGTTCCATGCTGGCAGTTTTTCATCAAGCTGGAAAATATCTCTACGCTAATTTACTCCCAATTTTACCTGCTCACAAGCTATGGCCCCCTGAACACAACCTCCGCCTCCACCTTCTCTTTCCAGGCCCAGACACCACTCAGGCAAATTGGCAGAGCTGCAAGGAGAGTGGTGTCGGGCGTCAAGGCTGGACAGAGGAGAGGTGTTTAAAATGGCATTTCCTTAGTCTATAATACGACTGACACCTCCGCCAGAGCACCGGAGCAAATTAAGGATGCAAATGTGAGTGTTGGAGTGGGCAGGGGATTGTGTTTGAGAGCTGTACCGGCGCTCAACCTGGACTTTAATCAAGGTCAGCCAGCAGCAGCAATTACTGCATCATACGAGAGTCTTATATCTACAGGTCACAGAGATTATCTCATGGGGGAGCAACCTTACCTGTAGAAATTTGCCCCTCCAAATATCAGACACTCTTTTATGTACAGCTGGTTTTTAAAGGTTAACTTAAGAAAAGAAATGGGAGGGTTCCTTTGAGTTTCAAAGCTTGCTTGACTCATTCACACCAATTTTTGACTCACCCCCACTTTGTTTGGCACTGATACTGCATTAAGAAAATGTAGCCTACTTTCATGCTTATTTGTTTTCTCTACTTTGCATCGGTTCACTTTGGGTCAAAACATCATAAAAATACTGAAATTCATGACAAAATAATTACAGTTAGTGCTACCAAGCGATGCCAATATTTACTCTTTTTTTCATTCACAAGGTTCAGACGGTTATATCACGACACCAAAAAGTATCAGAGGTTCTATTTTGCAACAAATTTCAGTGTAGCCCTCCCCCACCTGTTGATACTACACTTTCCCCTTGTTCACAGAAACAAATAAATGTGTCTGTTTAGAAAACATTTGGCCATTAATTTAAGTATAAAAAGCTTCACCAGCTCCCTTTCATTAAGGTAATACTTGTTAGGCAACAAGCAGTTAGTCTGTCCAGCAGCAGACTGCCGCGGACCTTCGGAGCAGATAGGCCAACTAAATAATGAGGTCATGTCATTTTATTTTATATTCATAGACTCCATTTTTCTTGGGAGTCACTTTTTTTTTTTTTTAGAACCAATTGCATCCTGAATTTGAGCAGATTTTAGATGTAGGCCAAAACACCATGGGATGCCCTTTAAACAACACAAGCTGAATAAACGATTTCTCCAAAACATGAAGTGGAAAAATTTACTTAAAAGATTATATAGCATTTTGTGTGACACTGGTTGTATATATATAGAGAGATAAAATGAGGTTCTACACTAACTATGTGCATCTTAACTATATTAGATATTAAACCTGGGGCTCACCTCCAACTGTTCCAGTCAAAATCCTGAATATTAGGTCCAATTTTATGGTACTTCAATCTGGGAACATGGATAATGTTCGATATTCCAAGATAATCGTAACAGAATGTAGAAAATACCTGCATTCTATACTCTTTCTTTAACATTTATATATATATTTTTTTTGTTTGTTTGATTATTTTTGCAGCTTTTGGTTTTAGGTTCTATATAAAATCATACAATATTCTCTAAATCCCCCCCACCCCCCAGAAGCACCCACTTTGACAACCTTCTAGAGCCGCATCTGCTTTCTAGCAGGAGGAACCTGCATCCGATTCCCTGTTCTGTTTGTGAGCAATTCAGACTAATGTGGGATATTCAGAGAAAAAAAAAAACTGTTGTTAATTGTTTATTTGATTAAAAAAAGAAAAAAAACTGGGCATTGAAATATGCACAACAGGGGCTGTGCTTAAGGAAGGCCTAGTCTCTAACTTTATTGTTCATGTCATGTTAGATCAATAATCTCCTCGGCTGTTGGTTAAATCCACAAGTTTCATAGATTTTGTTGTATATTCTTTTCCAATCGAGCATAAAGACGTTTAAAGACGTCCAAATGACTTCTACATTTGATTAAAAAGTGAAAAGTTGTAATTTTTCAGCTTTATTGGATTGAAATGGGACAAAATAGGCGCAAGAAAACACAGCCCAATTTTAACAAGTATTTTTTGGACTAAATCAAAACTATAACTGACGGAAGAACCAACGTCTAAATGACGTCTGGTGGGGTTTTTTTTCATGATGTATTTGAGCTCAGACCTGATGTTTAGTCTGTTCCTGTCTTACCTTTCGTTCAGGGAATTCCAGTAGATGGGCTCCATGTTGCTGGCGGTCGTTCCCAGTAAATCCAGTAGGAATACCATCAGGATCCAAAATCCATTCCCGCTCCTTCGACACGCCATCTCAACCCTGACACCCAGCATGTACTGCCCCATCTAAAAGAAAGCAGCAATATTGGTCGACTGGGGCACGCACAGCTGATTATTTTGTCTTTTTTCTTAAAAAAAAAACAACTAATCGAAATTAAATGTTTCTGTGAGTTAAAGTAAGATCAAAAAGATAGTCACGCGCAACCACATGGATCCGAAATGCTGGAAATAAAAACAGTTTCTTCAGTATGCAGGGGAAACTTGCTCAATCCGTGCGTCCTGGTCTCCAAATCGACAGGTTCTTTTGCGCACTATTTAAGAGCCTTTCCCATGACTTTCCCATCAATGTCTCATTAGAAACAGTTTCTTCCAAAAAATCATTAGAGCTCGAGCAGATATCCACTGAATTTGATATTTTCACAGATTATCGCCTCCAGAAAGCAGTCTTTGCGCTCTAATTGTCTGTTTTCCTCGCTGAACAACGTTCCCTTGTTCTCTTTGGCTCTCTCTGTCTGATTTCTCTCCCATTACCTTGTTCTCTCACCTCCCAGCATATCTGGCCCAGATAAATTTCAATATTATTAATTTGTTTAGGAGATGAAGGCAGCAACAACAAAACAGTTGGGAAAATGGTTAAAATAAGAATGATGCCACTTGTATCCACAGCTCCATCCTCATAAAAGAGACGCGTTGAAGCTCTGGGAGTCCAGTACAATCCTTTTTTTCTCTCTCTTTTAATAGAAAACACACAGGCTGTAAATCCAGTAAATGTCCTTCGGTTTTCTTTTATGGAAAATGAAAATCCAACTCCAAAAAATAATAATAATAATCCGAGAGCAAATTCAGATGATAAAACTGAAGAGCTAGAAAAGCGAGTGCATTCTAACCATGGCACACAGACCGGCGTGAAACTTGTGAAGTGATGAAGAAAATCAAAGATGCGACTCAGTGGGCTTCAGTCCCGCCTGGAAACGGATGTCTTTCAAACGGAGCGCATCGTTTGGAGAGCAGAAACCAATCGGCCCGAGGAGCGCGCTCCGTGCGTTATCTCATACGTCTGTGCGCCTCGAAATCCCACCGGTTTGACTCGCCTAATGCTCACAGCGCACTGACAGAGCGACTGGCTTGTTTGAGAGGAGGCGGAGGAGGAGGAGGGGAAAGGGGGACGTGGATGAATGGCAAAAAAAAAAAAAAAATCCCCATCCTCCGACTGGCAGGCAGGGCGCACTGACGGAGCGCAATTCTTCCAGGCTTTCCGCGGAGAGGGGAGGAGAGCGGACCTCCTCCTTTTTTAGAGTTTCAGGAGGGCCCCCACTTAAGACTCGGACCTCTGGACTCCCAGGCGCAGTATTCTGCCTTCTTTTAGACACTAAAAAGCAACTCCCCCAGTAGTACACACACACGCACACACACACAGCTCATTTAGAGGCTCACCAATCTGCTGCGCAAACTGACTGAAGAGTAAGAGCGCCCTCAGTGCGCTCTCTGAGCATCACATTGAGGGTTTCATTGTAAAAGATGACTCAAGATGCCGTTTCAAAAGGATATTTGGCTAATCTAACACCCCGTAGGAGCCCTAAATGGGATTTAAAGAACAGTCTCCCAGATGGATCACTCACTTGCATTTTTTATTTTATTTTTTTTCCCTACTTGCTTTGATTCTGTTCTATTTTCCTATATTTTATTCATCTAAAGCACTTTGCATTGTCTTTGTACTGAATTGTGCTATATAAATACATTTGCCTTGCCTTGCCTTGCCTTCACTGGAAAGCTACGGCGCTACTTTTGGATGGATTTGAGTTCATTTCAAGAGAAAATAGATCATGATAGGAAATCCATGTGTAGCAGCTATTAACAGAGAGAAACTGCGCGTTTCTAGATGCAGGGGACCTTTTTTTTTATCCTGCAGCAACAGCAGTGAGGTGATGAGCTGTGTGACAGGATCTACTGAGGACCACACACACACCTCTGTTTACTCTGAGCCCCCTGTCTTACCACTAATACCACTTTCACACACTAACGCAGTGTGTGTTAGGAGTCTCAAAGCTGTGGCTGCACTGCCCCCATGTGGCAGGAACTGTGCACATATAGACACTCTCCAGGTAATGTTGGTTTCCGACTCTCAAAGTTGAATTAAATCCGTATGGTTTTCTTTTTCATTGGTAAAATAAAAATCTTCCTTTTAAAGTTTCACATCCTCAGCAAACATTTGGATTTCCTTAAATAGAAAACCTTTAATTAGTCTGTCTGTATGATTTCACTGTATTGACTCAAGTGCCTTCAGATGACTTGTGTTTTCATTTGGCACCATATAAATAAACTAAATCGAATCTAAATTTGTGGAAGTTCTGCTTTGTTGACTTGTTTTTGGGTTTTTTGGCAGTAAAATCACCTCTCATTTAAAAAGGAAACGTTTCACAGAACATCATTAGAGTAAATACCTCAATAGCTTTCTCTAACAATCAGTTATGTTCCTTAAACTGAAAACCATGTGCTTGAGTCAACAGGTAAAATCTATTAATCTGCAGTTAAAGTAAATCCATGTTTGAATTTTTGCACACTAACATATCCTTTAGCTTGCTTTACGTAATTAAAAGTTGGTATTTTTTATGCTTTTTTTAAAAATCAAAAGCAAATCAGTGTGTCTAATATGCTGATTTTGTTCCCCCCACAAATAATGTATTGATGCAGAGATAGTTGTGTTTGCCGTCAGCATCTGGTATCTATATAATTTCTAATGAATTGTTACTGTCACGGTCTTGGTTGTATTAAGTTTTCTTTGAGTTTTCAGTTTTATGTTGATTCAAGTTTTTCTTTGTTTTCTAGTTTTATTGATTTAATTCATATTTTATTGTGCTTTTCTGGATCTATTTGAGTTCTTACATTTTTCTATGTTGCTCTCTGTTGCCCTCTTGTGTTCCCCTTTTCCCTATCTCCTTTCTAGAAGCCTCTGTTCACACCTGCTCCCAATCAGCTCGTTAGTCCTGTCTTTGTTCAGTCTCCATAAATGCTCTGCCTGTGCTGTTCCTCAGTGCTGGTTCCTCGTCTTTCAACGTCTTTCCCTGGCTCCTATAGTGCACATCTTCCCTGACATCTCCATGGTTCTGGTTTGTCTTGAATTTTTAAGTTGGATTTTTGGATTCCTGCCTATGTTACCTGAGAACACTCTATTAAAACTACAAAAACGTACCTCTGCCTCCCTGTCTCTGCATTTGGGTCCTTAAAAAAACTCAACCAAACCCTGACAGTTTCGTTGGGAAGATAAATGGATAGACAGTTGTCTTTTGACTTCTCAATAATAGCGTCTCAGCTTTTGTTTTTGTTTTACAATACAGACATTTAATTTTAACTAGTGTTGCACCGATACCAGTATCGGACGGGGCCCCGATACTGCCCTAAAATGGTTTTATCGGTATCGTCGAGTACCAACAAATAGGGCAACGATACCATTTTGAGAGCCATAAGTTTATTCAACTATTGTCACCCACTCCTGGTAGGCAATAAAAAGTTCTACTGGATTCACTTTGTATTAGATTTTTTAGGTAGGCAGCAGCTTCACAAAGCCATGATGGCAATTATTTTACATTATTATGGTATCAGTATCGGCCGATACTGCACAGCCAGTTATCGGGTATCGGTATCGGGGCCAAAAAATGGCATCAGCGCAACACTAATTTTAATAGAAGATATTTTTCATTCTGGTTGTCTATACTTACCATCTTTAGCACTATGGAATGTAATCACTTGGAGGGGTGTCTTGGAGTTGAACTGAGAACCTCTTGCAGTCAAAGTGACAAACCTTTAATCAGTGGGATGAGGGTTTTGAGTCTACCTTTACCAGCTGACACTTTGAAGCAAATCACCTAATTGAATGCACTTTCTGTTGCTTATTCAAACCTTTTTCACATTTGCTCTTTTTAAAAAGACAGAGATCACAGTGAAATGGATGTAATTTTAAGTAGAGCAAAACAAGAGTGGTACATCATAGAGAATTAAAAGTAAAATTTACTCCACCATGATTAAACTCTGAGAATGTTCATGTATTCAGTCCCTTTTACTGGGACACATATAGATCTACTGAAACCAGTTGCTATGTAAAGATGTATTATTAGTGAATACAATTCAATTGTTGTGATTCATTATTAGTATATATCCAGCTGTTCTATGCAGAATCAGATTTTTTAGCAAACATTAGCAAATAATCTCTATAATTTGGAGGCTGTTGAATGTAGATGTGCACATTTGGTTTTAGTGTAGCTCTTCTCAGAGCTCAGTTAGAGATCCCTCTGCAGCTTCAGCAACTAAGATGGCACAGCTGATTCTGCTCTGCCGATCAGAAGCAGAGCATGAAGCTGGGAAAGGAGCTGATACCTTGGCCAGTTGGCAGCTTATGGGCTGTGTGTTTTTTTTTAGCTTTAAGTTCTCCACTTTATGAAACATGATCTGGTGCTGTCACTCCTGTTGGTGGCTGTATGTTTTTGCTTGGCAGGAGGAAGGTAAACAAACTAGTTTTCCACTCATTGTGAAATGATGGTGTAGGTTATTTTTGGTGGGTTGTTTGGCTTTGTTTCCCTTTATTACTTCTTTTTGGGTAGATTGAATTAACTACACATTGATTTTGAAATTGTTTTTTTTTTCTTTATTAAACAACTGATACATTTCGATATTTCTTTGACATCATCTATATTCCTACATCTTCAAACAGTGACTTTAACTGCCTGGGAATTTATCCAGGATTTAACATCAACAAGTGGTTTGATGAAGTAAATGTAATGATCTCAGAGCTCAACTTGGACTCTCAAACATCAAATCATATCCATACATCAGTATGACCTGTGTTTTCCTTTGGCAACCTTCTGTTAAGAAAAACATCTAACTTTTTGTATCAGACAAAAGCCAACTGAAGGATTCTTCACATCTCTGTTTCTCCATAGACTTCAAGGAATGCAACAATTTGGGGGCTTATCCGGGATTTGGAACTAAGCTTTGCTTAAATGAAATAATTTGCTTTTCTATTCTTATGTAGTTATATAGTGCTTTTCTGTTCTTTTCTACAAATGTATATA